CTCAAATGGCATTTTCTCCTGGAAGTTTTTCCTGACCACATCTCCCTCCCCTACCCCCAAATGTGTGACTCTTAAATTATCTCCGAGCACCTACTATTTCTTAGTAACATTTAGCATAGTTATGATAACTGATTAGTTATGTCAGTAATGAACTGTTCAAAGTCTCTCTTCCCATGAAGAAGTTCACTTTCTCATCGTGGACTGAGCTCCTAATGGATATTCAGATATGTGTGGGGTGAAAGAATGAAAGACCTCTGATACTATCGCCTACCTCTTTGCAGACAGCACTTTTCAAAAAATAATCTTTCTTGGGATGGTGAACACACAATACAACATACAGATTATGTATTATAGACTGTATCCTGAAACCTATAAAATTGTTTTTAAGATAGATAGATAGATAGATAGATAGATAGATAGATAGATAGATAGATAGATAGATGATAGATAGATTTCAGAGAGGAAGGGAGAGGGAGAAAGAGAGATAGAAACATCAGTGACAAGAAGGAATCATCGATCGGCTGCCTCCTGCACACCCCCTCCTGGGGACTGAGCCCACAACCCGGGCATGGGCCCCGGGCCGGAATCAAACCCTGACCTGGTTCATAGGTCGACGCTCAACCACTGAGCCACGCTGGGCAGGCTGAAACCTATATAATTTTATTAACGAGTGTCACTCCAATAAATTCAGTTAAAAAGAAATGAAAACAATCTTGCTGATAGGTGAAAAGTAACATCTCATGAGTTTAATTTACATTTTTTTGGTTGCTGGTGGTATTGAACATGTGTTCATGTTTAGTGGCAATTTGTATTTTCTTTCTGGTAATTGTTCTCTGACTATTCCTTATTGGGCTTTCAGGTTTTTTGAGGTGTGTGAGTTTTTTTTAATAAGTGCCTTACATATTAAGATACTGTATTTGTTACTGATCTTACCAGACTAAAAGGGTCCATTTGCCAGCACCCATCAAAGCCCAATAAGATGTGACCAAGAGTTTACAGCAAAGAAAGTAAAGATTTATTTAAGGAAATGGCACAAGCCCGGAGTCACAGGTAAGCTAGTACTCTAAAACCTGGCTCCAGGAGGGACCACACAGGGACAGATTACGAATGGGGAAAATTAGTAATCATGGTGATTTTGGTTGGGGCCAAGGTAGGGAGTAGTTGAGCATTGTGTTAGGTCCTGAGGTCAGCCATGGCATTGTTCTGCCTAGCGCTGTGAGGGTGTGTGGTCAGTGGGGTCCTTCTGCTTTATGGGCCTGGGACTGAAACACAACTGAGGTCAAGATGTATGGTTGGTTTTACCACAGCTCTGTTTCTGTGGTCAACAGACTTGAGGCTTCATTCTTAAGACAGTTGATGCTAGCTGAAGTCTGATGTCCTAAGGACTTAAGCATTAAAAAAGAGAGGATTGGCAGAAAGGAGAATGGATCATGTTAAAGAAATGCAGTTTCTACAAGGATACATAATGTGTTTCCCATGTTATTATTTGCTGTCTGATTTTGCTTCATTATTTTTACCTTTTTATATAGTCAAATCATATATTTCATTAATATTTTTAATCCTATTTATTTAGAAATTCCTTCTGTATCCTGAAAATAAATATTTTTAAAAAATATTTTTATATTTCAGAGAGAGAGAGAGAAACATCAGTGATGAGAGGGAATCATTGATCTGCTTCCTGCATGCCCCCCACTTGGGATTGAACCCCCAACCTGGGCATGTGCCCTGGAATCAAACCATGACCTCCTGGTTCATAGGCCATTGCTAAACACTGAGCCATGCCAGCCAGGTCTGAAAATAAATATTCTAATATTTTTTAATAACTTAATGATTTCTTTTTTATATCTTTTTTTTTCTCTGTCTTATTATCCTTTTATTTTTTTATTTTTTTAATTAAATCTTTATTGTTCAGATTATTACATTTGTTCCTCTTTTTTCCCCCCCATAACTACCCTCCTCCCAGTTCCCGCCCCACCCTCCGCCCTCACTCCCCACCCACTGTCCTTATCCATAGGTGCACAATTTTTGTCCAGTCTCTTCCCGCATCTCCCACATCCCTTTCCCCCCCAAGAATAGTCAGTCCATTCCCTTTCTATGTCCCTGATTCTATTATAATCACCAGTTCATTCTGTTCATCAGATTATTTATTCACTTGATTCTTAGATTCACTTGTTGATAGATGCATATTTGTTGTTCATAATTTGTATCTTTACCTTTTTCTTCCTCTTCCTCTTCTTAAAGGATACCTTTCAGCATTTCATAGAATCCTGGTTTGGTGGTGATGAACTCCTTTAGCTTTTCCTTATCTGTGAAGCTCTTTATCTGACCTTCAATTCTGAATGATAGCTTTGCTGGATAAAGTAATCTTGGTTGTAGGTTCTTGGCATTCATCACTTTGAATATTTCTTGCCATTCCCTTCTGGCCTGCAAAGTTTCTGTTGAGAAATCAGCTGTCAGTCGTATGGGTATTCCCTTGTAGGTAACTGAGTTTCTTTCTCTTGCTGCTTTTAAGATTCTCTCTTTATCTTTTGCTCTTGGCATTTTAATTATGATGTGTCTTGGTGTGGTCCTCTTTGGATTCCTTTTGTTTGGGGTTCTCCGCGCTTCTTGGACCTGTAAGTCCATTTCTTTCACCAGGTGGGGGAAGTTTTCTGTCATTATTTCTTCAAATAGGTTTTCAATATCTTGCTCTCTCTCATCTTCTGGCACCCCTATAATTCTGATGTTGGTACGCTTGATGCTGTCCCAGAGGCTCCTTACACTATCCTCGCATTTTTGGATTCTTTTTTCATTTTGCTTTTCCGGTTGGGTGTTTTTTGCTTCCTCGCATTTCAAATCATTGACTTGATTCTTGCGCTCCTCTGGTCTGCTGTCGGGAGTCTGTATAATATTCGTTATTTCAGTCCGTGTATGCTTAATTTCTAGTTGGTTCCCCAATATAACATCGAGGGTCTCATTAGTTTTCTTGTAGATCTCATTAAGTTTATCGTCGGCTTCTAAACAGTTCTTGAGAGACCTTAAAAGTGTGGTTCTGAACTCTATATCTTCCATTGACAATTTTGTCCTGTTTCTTTGTCTCCGCATTTTGTTATGCTTCCTTGGTGCACCCCCTAGTGGTCTTTGTTCGCAGTCTTATAGTTAAACCTTGATTGTTGTAGCTAATACCAGGGAGGGTTTGACCTCCAGGCCAAGTGGCTATGAGAATCAGCTGTGTCAGCAGTGAGAGAACTTCTGTCCTCTAGGGAGGTGCTAATCTAGCCTTTGCCTGAGGCTATCCGGCAAATGCCTCTGTGCTGGGCTTGGGCGGGGCGGGTCGCACAGGATCAACAGGGTGGGCCAGAGAGAGCAGTTATGGCGGCTCTCAGTCCCGTCCCCAGGGGCTCTGCCTCTCTGAGTCCCAGCACCCGCTGCAAAGCTCGGAGAGAAAGCTGCACTCGCTCTGACCGAAGCCAGACAGTCCCGCTTCTCCCGTTTGAGTCTAGGTCCCTAAAGACTCGCCTGTATCTGGAGCTCAGAGTCTGCGACTCCCTCCCAATTGAAAACGCCAACCGCGCCCTCCGCCGCCAGCCCGCTCCGCGCACTCCGCACCTCAGAATTTGACTTCAGCCCTGCGCCTCCTCTGAGTGTCCGTATGCGTTTCTCTTTCCTCCTAGTTGTAGGACTTCCACTCAGCCAGCGTTCCTGTGGTTTTGGGTGATGTCCGTTCAGTCTTTTAGTTTCACTTTTGAAGTAGTTGTTCAAAGCAGCAAACTCCGGCGTTAACCTATGCCGCCATCTTGGTTCTCTTCTCTTTTTTATATCTTAATAAAAGCTTTCTTTCAGAAGAGCTTTTGGCTTTGTTGTTTAACAACTGAATCAGCCAATAGTAAGGGTAGTTTTTAGTTCTAAGGTTAAAACTGTCTTTTTATAAAAAAAAATCTTAGAATATTTTACTATTTTATTTAAAAATGAATGCTTAATTCAATAGTGCCTTTAAAATTTTTTTATTAAATTTATTGGGGTGACATTGGTTAATAAAATTATACAAGTTACAATTCTATAATATATCTGCATATTACATTATGCATTTACGACCCAAAGTTCAATCTCTTTCATCACCATATGTTTGATCCTCTTTACCCTTTGATACCTACCCTCCACTTCCCTTTTACTCTGGTAACCACCATACTGTTGTCTGTGTCTTTGAGTGTTTGTTTGTTTTATTTGTTCATTTGTTGCTTCCAGTTTTATATCCCATACTAGAGGCCCAATGCACAAAATTCGTGCAAGGGTAGGCCCTTGCAGCCCCAGCTGCCTCACAACCCTGCTGCCTCGCAGCCCCGCCTCCGACCCACACCTGCCTTGGCCTGGTGCTGCCCGCATTGGCCACCACACCCCCCTGGCTCCCTGGTTCTGCAGAGTGCCCCCCCACCCCCCTATCAATTGTCCTGCAGCAGGTGGCCTGGGCCTCTCTTTGCGAGGCAGTCATGGAGCCACCCGATCGATTGCCCTGCTGACTTGTGGCCTGGGCCTCCCTCTGTGGGGCAATCCTGGGGCAATGGCAGGCCCCCCGACCAATCACATCACACCTGCCTTGGCTGGCCTGGTGCCAGTGCGTGTCATAGCATGGTCATCGGGAATATTGTCTGGATGGTTGTTCTGCTGTTCGGTCATTCGGTCGATTTGTATATTACGCTTTTATTATTGTAGATAAGAGTTAAATTCATATGGTTCCTGACTTTCCTGTCTAGTTTTGCTTAACATGATATTCTCAAAACTCATCCATGTTGTCACAAATGACAGTATTTTATCTTTTCTTATGGCTGAGTAATATACTATTGTATATATGTACCACAATAGCATTGTGAAAGTTGTAAATGATTTTAATTATATAGCAAGTGCAAAGTTAATTTTTAATTAATTGAAATGATAGTTAACATTTTTGGTTGAAATTATTTTTAAAAAAACAATTTTGAAAACTGTTTCAAATACATTTAAAGTTGGGTTCTCTTACTTTACAGTTCCTCAGTTTGAAACTTCATGTAATTATGTAGAAGCTACACTTGAAGAGTTTCTGACCTGGAACTGTGACCACTCTAGTATTTCTGGACCATTTATAGATTATGATTATTCCAAATTCTGGGCTTATGCTGACTATAAATATGTTGTCAGTCTATTTGAAGACAAGACAGATATTTTCCAGGTAAGTCAACACATTCTTTTTAATCACGGTAATAATTTATTCTTGAGAAATTCCCTGGTACCATTTTTCCTCACTGTCATTTTTCTCTCAAAAGAGATTCACTGGGGGTGTTGAGTATTTTATCCACTCTAGCCAAAAAGATTTGTTCAAGAGAAGCGAAATGTTGGGCACACACACACACACATGAGCAGCCTTCTCACTGGTTTTCTACTCATCACATTTCCTATGCACTTTCTCCTGTGCCTTTAAACAGCCCCCAAGCTGGTTTGGAGTGTATTAGAAGCACAGATTATGTATAACACTTCATTTCCTCTGACCTACATAGAAGTTTTCATTCATTCTGGTGAGACAGAGGTACAGAGCTGATTACATGAAGAAGCATTCCAAGCTGCTGCTTCCATCTCTCCCTGTTCTGAGGGTTTAGTGCAGATTTAAGGCCTGGGTCAGGTGCTGGTTCCCACTTTATTGTTGTATTTGGTTGTAGAAGTCCTGAAGAAGTGTGGGCGTACTTGCAGAAGTAAGAATGTGGAAGTTCTTTGCCATGTGTTGACATAATTGACAGCAGACTTTGCAGGCTACAATATCCTCTTTTCTTTTATGTGTTTTCTTCTGCAGACTGTCAGTTTATTTTGTGGAGTGATTTTGCAAACTCCCTGCTCTGATTCCTGGGTGGGTGTCTTAGGCCTGGCCATGAATGGGAGTAGTCCCTGAAGCTGTTAGGATGACTTTGCCTTGCCCACAGTCAGGTCAAGGCTCCAGAGTCCTTTACCCTGCCCACCCTTTGTGGAGAGAAGTCTTAGCCGTCACTGCCAGCTATTCACCCCCCTCTCCTCCCCTCCTGCCCGTTACCACCACTCCCTCTCTGGACTTCCCTCTCACATAGGCTGTAGGCCTTGGACTCATGAGAAGTTTTTAATGCAGCCTGCGTTTTGTTTTGTTTTTTTCACTTTGAATCAAGGTGTAGATGCTGATGTTTACATAATTAACTATGATACAATTGTTAATACTTTGTAGATTTCTTTATTAAATTTTTAAATGCTTGTTTTTTGCTTTTTATTTAAAAAATGAAAATTATCTCACCTGTTTCATAATTGTTAGGTGAGGATATATTTTTATTCTCATAACCATGAAAGAAATCCATCAGTTTTAAAAAAATTTCGTAGATGCTTTCTGAATCCAAAGTCTATACCAAATCTACTCTTTACTCATTTTTAAATGATAATTTTGAGGTAATTTTTTTCTTACAACCTTAGTTGTGATCTCTTTATGGATGTTTAACCCTGACCTTTTAAATATCATAGTTAACTTTTAGAGTATTTCATTATTATTTCTTATATCCCCCACTCAATCTGTAGATTAGATTAGTACTTTTTTACTCTAAATTTCAGGCAAAATGTTGTGTAATAGTAATACTTATCAAGTACTTATAATTGATGCTTTTCTAAGTACTTTACATTTATAATCTTCACAGTAACCCTATGATTTAATAATTATCCTTATTTTAAGAAAAATGAGGCACAAAGTGGTTAAGTGAAAAAGCTTCTGAAAATATACAACTAAGAAAAGAATAACCCGAGCTGTCTGCCCTGCGACCTTTAACTGCTTCTCTGCTTCACTGCCTCCAGCGGGTCTAAACGCATTCAGTTCTGTGGGAACTCTACAGCCAGAATTAAGGAATTCCATTTATGCTCAGTCTAGGCTCACTCTGCCTTGGATGAATCTCTGATCTGACCCCCTCAGTTATCTGTCTTAGCCCGGGCATAACAGCACTGGGCATACACGTATCCAGTCCATTAAGTGTGGACATAAAAACAGTCTTTTGGCATTGTGCTGGAATTCTAATTGAGCCCTTATAAAATCTGATCTTTTTAGTTGAATGAGTTTTCTGTCTGCTCACATTATGGTGATTAAGTCTCCGGATTAGAGCAGGTAAATCTGCTATGAAAAACCAAATCTATTGAGATTATTTTATTTTTTAGCTCAGAGTTTTCTGAGTACCAAGTGTTCTTACATCAGGTACCAAAGTTGTTTACCATTTTACTTTTACTGCTATAACTCATTTGGCCACTTAGTCTTATTACTTATTGTTTCAAGTATTCTTCTGTCTGTCATGGTAGGTAGTTAAACATTAAAACTGATCAATGTTTAAAGTATTTATTAATTCATTTTAAATAAACTCATATGTGAACATAAGTAACATTTTAATGAAAATAACTATATTCAGACTTGTAAGTTCTGAGAGGAGTGGTATTATTTTACATTTTTGTTAGTCTTTTTAATGTCTGCTTTAATAGAAGACAGCTGGATTCTTCTGTTTCTGTATTCAGTCTTTTGTAATTTATTGGTTTATTTGAAGTATATGAAGAATATCTTACCTCGTGCATATGCAGCTGAAAACAGTTTTTTAGCAGCCTTTTTAGATAGTTGTGGATTTTTAAAAATACTCTGCCAAACTTGACAAGGAGTAATTTCTCAAAAGATTTGTTTGTTGCAGTAGAGTCTGAACCCATAATCACTGAACTCTTTGCACTCTCACAATAAACTCCATTGGTCTCTCTTGTATAGAATGAAGCTTTTATAATACCGTTCATTGGCCATTTGGAAAATATTGGTTTATTGAGTTATGTAGGTCTTCAACTATTGACACATTTCTATATGCATCATCATAAAAAAAGTGACTTGCTAATATTACCATTCTCATCAGAAAGACTTAAGTATTAGGAAGCTTTCAAATTTATGGGTTTCAGGATACAAATTTCCAAAATCATTTTCATTCTGTTCATAATATTTCCTTTTTCTTTTCTTTTTGACATGTTAAAATGTTATTTACAAAGCTTCTTTGTTGTGCAAAAGGTAAAAATGCTGTTACAATCTTGGTGTAACTGGAAGCCACAGGCAGTTGACTCACCAATCACAGCTATCCACACTACAGCAAGAGTCTTACTCGAAAACCTAACAATGCTTACAATTTTGTTGGTATGCAGTCCCCCAGTTTGGTGGTGAATTTCCAAAAAGGAATAAATGGAGGAAGGCAGATGTTATTCAAAATATTTTCTAATTTTCCTTGTGATTTATTCTATGCTTATGAAGTATAATATCTAGTTTCCAAATATTTGGAGGTTTTCTAGCTATCTTTCTGTTACTGCTTTCCAGTTTAATCCCATTATAATCAGAGAATATACTTCGTATGATTTCACTCCTTTTAAGTTTATGGTTTTATGGGCCAGAATATAGTCAGTCTTGATAAATGTTCCAGGTGAACTTGAAAGTCATGTGTATATTGTTGTTTTTTATAAATATAAGGTATTGTTGAAGTCTCCTGTATCCTTACTAATTTTCTGTGCACTTGTTTTGCCCATTATATAGAGAAAGGTGTTGAAATTTCCCAACTGTAATTATGTATTTATTTCTTTTTCAATTAAGATTGATCAGTTTTAGTTTTGTGTATTTTGAAACTATTAGATTCATGCACATTTAGGATGATTATTTCCTCTTAATGTATTGATCTTTTATCATGATGCAATGACTGTCTCTCCTGGGTTCTTCCTTGTTTTGATATCTACTTTGTGTAAAGTCAACTTTGTTTAATTTGCCTTTGGATTAATGTTAGCATGAAAAAGGAGTACTGAGTATATGCTTCCATTTGTATGAAATTGTAGAACTCATAAATAAATGGACAGAAAGTAGATTAGTATTTGTCTAAGAATGAGGGAGTAGGGAGAGATGGGTTACAAAGAGTCACTGGGGAACTTTTGGACATGATCAAAATGTTTCTCATCTTGATTGTAGTAATGGTTTCATATATATGTGTGTGTGTGTGTGTGTGTGTGTATATATATATATATATGTAAAAATTCACCAAATTATACACTTAATATATATGCTGTTTATTGTATCATTAGTTATATCTTAACTAGAGGCCTGGTGCATGAATTTGTGCATGGGTGGGATCCCTTGGCCTGGCTGGCAATCAGGGCCATCGGGGCCGTCTCACCCAGTCCCGATCGGAGCTGGGCCAATTGGGGTCTGCCAGCTGGGGGGAGGGACTGCAGGAGGTTGATCGGCCAGCTTGGGGGAGGGACCACGAGAGGTTGGCCAGCCAACGGGGTGGAGGGACTGACCGTGGAAGGTTGGCCGGCTTGCCAGAGGGGGATACCGGATGGGGGACAGACCACGGGAGGTTGGCTGGCCGGCCGGCCTGCGGGAGGGACCGCGGGAGGTTGGCCAGCCATGGGATGGACAGGGGGAGGTTGGTCTGCCACGAGAGGTTGCCTGTGGGAGTGCACTGACCACCACGGGGCAGCTCCTGTGTTGAGCGTCTGCCCCCTGGTGGTCAGTGTATGTCATAGTGACTGGTCAACCGGTTGTTCAGTCATAACGGTCACTTAAGCTTTTATAGATAGATAGATAGATAGATAGATAGATAGATAGATAGATAGAGCTGTAAAAAAAAAGAATGCAGTGCTACCAGTATACTTTGGTTCCACTGTCTTGACCAGCAGTTTTATTCACCATTATTTTTGTGCCCTCAGTGTGAACACAGTGCATCTTAACATAGCTAAGTAACATCTTAGTAGTATGATGAAAATAATTTTAACCGTACAGATTCTGTGAAAGGATCTCAGAGACCCCCAAGGGGATCTATGGGCCACTTTGAGAACCTCTGGTCTACATCACTTCTGAAATTACTCTTTATTCCTCCAGTTCTGACTCTTCCTCTACTTACTTCTAAAACAGTTTCTTATGAAAATACATTTCAAGTCATGCTCCAGATTAAATATTGAAATATGTTAATCATGTTCACAAACGTTTCATGACTTAAAATTAAGGATAGCATTTAAGACTCTCCCCAACATGACTGATGCAACCTTTCTCCTATACTTTACTTAGTCCCTTGTCTAGTCTCCTCGCTGAGTGCTGGGCCACTATGTTCTCTCTCACCTTCTGGCCTTTGTTCATGCTCTTATCAGTTTCTCCTTATTAAAACTCTACTTCTTAGG